TTTGTACAGGAGGCAACTGATCGATGGTTTTCCTCTCTCTCTCTTTCTCTCTCTCTCTCATCAATAAAAACATATCCTTGGGTGAGGATAAAAAATAAAATAAAACATCAACAACATTATGTGCTCATCATAAAAAGACCATCCTGTTCAGTATTATTGACCCAAAAAAAATCAAGTTTTTCGATATAATTACTAGCATACAAGAAATACAGATTGGTGGGAGCGAATTTAAATGACACTCAGGGCTGTCAGGGTTGCAGTTAGCAGAATCCAGAATGTGGGAAACTGTACATCAGGTGATTCCTGTCATAGCTGGGTGATGGGTGCCTGGCAGAGGGACGGCGAGGGTGGGTGGGGGAAGCAGGGGGGGAGGCGGTTGTATAATTTGCTTTGCTTCCGTGAATGTAAAATTTTTACAACAAAGAGTTAAAAATACTTGCACATACTTTGCACACACACATAGTCAAATCCAAAAGAAGATGCAATCAGACACCTCTCCCTCACCCATTATAATGGGAGACAGTGAGGATGAAAATCTGTATAAAGAACCAATATGTCCACCTCACTCACTCTTGCACCTCATCTTTCTGGGCTGGCCCATCAGACTCTGATCAGAGTCACACCATGGCTCTAGGAGACACTGAGCATGGGGACAGGGGGCGATGCCAGCCTGCATCTCAGGTCTGAGTGATTTGGAGCAAATCATTTAAACTCCCTGAGCACCAATGGTTTCCTTCATCAAAAAATGAGAGTCATGCCCTAACCGGTTTGGCTCAGTGGATAGAGCGTCGGCCTGCAGACTGAAAGGTCCCAGGTTCGATTCCGGTCAAGGGCATGTACCTTGGTTGCAGGCACATCCTCAGTGGGGAGTATGCAGGAGGCAGCTGATTGATGTTTCTCTCTCATTGGTGTTTCTAACTCTCTATCCCTCTCCCTTCTTCTCTGTAAAAAATCAATAAAATATATTTTTTTAAAAATGAGAGTCATTAATTCAACAAACATTTGTGGTGGATGCCAAGATGAGGTAGACAACCACTCCTGCACACTAGGAACAAGAAACAAGCACAAGGAATCTATTATACACGGTTGGATGGCCATTAGGGGCTCTGAGCTAAAGAGGGTCTCTGGTCTCTGAATATCAGGGGAAGCTCCCTGGAGAAGCTGCCATCTGGGCAGGACTCTGCCAGGTAGGATTTCAGCAGGCCGATGGGAAGAGGAGGGCAAGGGGGCGGAGGGAGGCAGAGCCCAGGGCATAAGAAAGAAGTGGTATTGTAACTTACATAAATGTCTAACCACTATGCTGTACAGCAGAAACTAATATAATATCGAATGTCAACTGTAACTGAAAAAGAAGTAAAAACACGAAGATTGAAAATCTCTTTAATTAATAGATAAATAGTCCTTCCTCCATCTTTGTTTGGTTCAATGTGTGTACCATGTCTGCATGTACTAGATTGCAATTCTTTCTTTTTCCTGAATAAACCCTTTTCGGTGACAGGGGGAAAAACTAAGATATAAACCTGCAAGGAGGTGAGGGCCAGGCTGAGGCCAGGGATGTGCCCGGTGTGCTGGTGCCTGTGGACGGCAGTGGGGCCGTAAGAGGCTCTGAGGAGGGTGTTTTGGTCAGGATGGTTTTCTAAGGAGATTATTACAGAGGGTGCGCTGGGGAGAAAGACTTGGTCCTCTTTGCAGCTAGAAAGAGAAAAGGCCCCACTCAGCCTCTCTATGAGCCATTGCTGATAGCAAAATAGACAAGACATGTTCTACAATGCAACAAGATTCCTTCTCCAGAGAAAAAGCACACACACACACACACACACACACACACACACACACACAGTTGTGAGGCATGGGGTTTGAGCAGTACTCCATGAAAAACATGTCAGAGAAAGTACACCTAGGAAAAGGAAAGATACCGAATGCAGACACAGTGAAACCCGAGACTAGCGAGGAAATGTGGCCTCTTCTCTCCCATTTCAGAGAGATCCCTGCATCATGCCCTGGCTTCTTCTGGAACCATGGTCTCCAGGAGCCTGAGTTCAGGGCTGGTCCCCACGCCGGGTGGCGCTTCCTGAGGGGGAGTGGGAAAGAGAGGCCACCCCAGCCCCACAGCCCAGGACGCCGCCCTCAATATCTTCCTAGTCTCTCTATAGCAAATTACATTGCAAAATCAAGGCAATGAAATTTGAGAATGTAAGTGAGAATGTAAGAGAAGTGTAATAGGGTGTGCCGGGCAGTTGATTCATACACGTGTTCATTTGCTGTTTGTGGTATTTGGCAGCTTTTTAAAATGTGTAAT